GAATTCGATATTGGTTCGTGCTTAGGGTACAGTATTATGCTGTCACTTCACACGGCTATTTATATATCAAAATATTCGATTAATGTGATTATTTGTGAAAAAAGCAAATATGAATCGCCAGTGAAGTAATATCATAATATTTCCACTTTTGATAAATATATATTGCTGGTAAATATGCATATTTTGCATCTATTGTATTCAATTACATCATTGTTTACTAAAAACATAACAACTTATGTGTAATTGTGTTTAGTTTAAAAAAGTATATGACTCATGTTTCTGTCAAATTGATTGGGCGACGACCATCGACGACTGACAATTAAGTTTTTTTTAATGACGAAATAACAATTCAACTTTTTGAATTCATGAATTTCATAATATTTCAAGAAAATACTTCCTGTATACGGTAGTACATACCTATATTCTTATAGCCGAATATTACAATAAAAAAACCAAAATGGGTTTACGTAGGGACCAAAATAATAACAAACCTACAATTATTTATATTAAGGATAAAGTTACATATTTAAGGCATTTTATTTTTTATAAAAAGAAAAATACTTGTATGTTAATATTATGCCAGCCATCAAAAGAGTAACTCACTAATTATTCATTAACTGTTTTTTTTGCGATGAAAAAAATTGCAATGATTACATATGCACTAACTGATGTGAAATTTGCCACGCAAACTAAGCTTCGGGAACATAGAACTGTGGCAGAATAAAGTTTTAATAATAGTATGTGTTCTTAAAGTCATCCTAATTTTGGAATAAAACTTCATAGATATAATACAACAGCCATCTGAATATGTATAGTGATATAATCGTCAGATTAATTATAAGATAAGTATGATTGATAAATGACAAATGAATGGCTCATGAATGTAACATTGTTTTGATGCGTTATGAAAAAGTAGAGTTGGTTGCACTATTATTATAATGGCACATATTTAAATGATCATTATTTTGATCAGGAGGATTTTCCTACAAAAAAAATATAATTGGCTAACCTAACCTTTGGGTTACCGATGGTATTCTTTTGGTGATTATTTATTATTTTTTCGAGGATCATTTAAATATTTCCTTATTATAATGTACCTACCCATTTGAGTCAGTAACCACAATTCACATTGTCATCGCCCTCGTATGAATTGGTTTAGTCGACTGGGACCACTGATCAGTAGCGCCATTAAAGAAATGATTCCAATGGCCACGAAAGACATTTTGTCTCTCTATCTCTCTCTCTGAGAATTAATATGCTAAATACAGAATGACTTGCGACTCTGATGACGTCATTTTGGTTTCGTTTGTGCGTTTATTAAATGACGCGTTTCATGAAATAGTCCTGTAGCAAGATTTCGTCCCTCCTAATCAATCATTTTGAAATGTAGTTCCAAGTTTGAGAGGATTTATTGTGGAATCACCTCCCCCGAACTCCTAGGTGATTACAAAGATGTTGGATCTAATGAATTGCAATACTTATATGTTAATAATGTTTATACCATGAAATATAATAAATTCAGTCCACGTTAAAATATTGCTGAAAAGTTTTTACTAGTCTCATTAGGATCTGTTGTATTTTTAATTGTATTACATTAATGCTAAGTTACTTTTAAATATTATGTTTTGATTTAAAGAAATTAAATGGATTCCATACAATACCTATTAACATAAAGTGATATGTATTTTTAAGGAACAAAAATAAAAAAAATATTAATAGGTATTTATTATAAAAACAAATGTTTTGTTTTATTTAATTATTGTCTTCTCTTAAAATCAGTCAATCAAAATGCTGAATAAAGTTGAACCTGGCCTCAAAATGGATGCTGTCACTGATGATTAGGTTTAAACCAATTTAGGTACACATTTTGGAATAGGTGGTTAAAGCTGAAATCTATCCAATGGTCCACACAAATGCTATACGAATGCATCTTTGACAATTTTTTATTTAAGGATAAAATTACTCAGACTGTATTAATTTCCTTTTAGTAAAGTTTTCAATATTCTTTCATCATTAACGCCGCTGAGTAGTGCCCAGAGCAGGATTTAAAGGTGTGATGGCCCTGGACAAAGAAGTCAAGGTCCTTTTTAACATAATCTGACACCCCTGGCCACTGAGTAATTTTAATGAATTGACCTTAGGTATTTAGGTTGACCATGAATTCAATTAAGTAACGATCACAAAAGCAGTTACTATGTTCTATGATAAGCACTGGAAATTAATATTTGGAAAAAATAATTATTCCAATCATTATTTTCCGATAACACTCTCTCTCTCTCTCAGTACACGCCATATTTCCCACATTGCCCTTACCGCTTTTCTGTCTTGTGCATACGGTACAGCCGAGCTCATTAATAAAATATTATGCCCTTCTTTGGACTTAGTGGAGTTGCCTTGCCTTGCAGAGGCCAGAAGCGCATGATCTAGCGTATGCCTGGGAGTGGATCCACCATCCTCTTTATCATCTCAGAGGCAGTGGGACGAGCCATCTGTTTGCGTTTTCAGAGTGATATTTTAGCATCCTCTGAAAGCGCCACTGAGTGTGCTCGCCTTCTAGCGGTCTTTCAGACAGAGTCTAGTCACTGGCTGCAAGCTTTACCTTCAGCCAATATCGGGACTTTGAGTGATAAGAGCACTGTATCTTGCGATTTCTCTTAGACTTGGCGTCAAGACTAATTATCCTCATCGCTGTCGTTGCGGTACTCGCGTCGGTAAGCTGGGACACCATGGTCTCTCATGCCAAATGAGTGCTGGCCAAGTCTCTCGCCACGCCTGCATCAATGGCGTCATCCGCAGAGCTCTTGTTATTGTCAATGTACCAGCGGTCCTTGAGCCTAATGACATCTACCGTGACAATGGCAAGAGACCTGACGGTATGACGCCCTTGGAAGCAGGGTCGTCCTTTTGTGTGGGATGCAACTTGTGTGGATACGCTTGCTCCGTGCCATACATGTAGTAAGTACCTCCGTAACTGTAGGCGCGGTGGCGACCTCTGCCGTATGCTCCAAGCGAGGCAAATATTCAGCTCCCAATGCGAACTACATATTTGTGCCGTTTATGGTCCCATGCGGTCTGGGGATCAAAAGGCTGGCAGCTATCTTGGTCAACGGATCAGCCTTGTTTATAATTTTTATTATTTTTAAAGCATGTAACTGCTTGATGTTTAAATCTAAAGAAAATATAACTAGAAAAAATTCCACGCGGACCAGGCAGCAGACGGGACTCGAACCCGCACCCTTCGCAATCCGGGCGAATGCACTGACCAGTTATGCTACCGCGGCCCTCACGGACCGCGTCGAAATTCTTTCTAGCTATTCTTAAGCTGCAAGGCAGCGCCATCTCTTCGCATTATAGGTAAACCCACAATGTCAAATGAATACTTTTACAAGTATTAAACATTTGAAAGAAGAAATAGCAATTATAGTTATAATTTTTATTATTTTTAAAGCATGTAACTGCTTGATGTTTAAATCTAAAGAAAATATAACTAGAAAAAATTCCACGCGGACCAGGCAGCAGACGGGACTCGAACCCGCACCCTTCGCAATCCGGGCGAATGCACTGACCAGTTATGCTACCGCGGCCCTCACGGACCGCGTCGAAATTCTTTCTAGCTATTCTTAAGCTGCAAGGCAGCGCCATCTCTTCGCATTATAGGTAAACCCACAATGTCAAATGAATACTTTTACAAGTATTAAACATTTGAAAGAAGAAATAGACACAATTTTTAACAAGAAAAACAAAACTGCTAAATTGACGCTTTCCGATCCCGCTAAAAAGTCCACTCTATTCTTATACCTCTATGGATACTCGTATGTTTTTTTTTTTAAATTTATTCTTGCCGTGGATACTTTGTCCTTTAGCCGGCTCGTGTGTGTTACCATTAGTGTTGCCAGGTGTGATTGTGGAACCGAGGATGGTACAGTGGATCATCTTTTCTTTAACTGCCCCAAATTAAACATCTCTCTCTATGACATTTTACCTCCCACTATTCCACGTCCTATAAGCATGAAAGTACTGTGTTTATGTGATTACTCAACCCTCAAGCTCTTGGCCAAATTTATTTCCCATAACAATCTAAGATTATAACAAAGCTCCTTGCTATACTTGTTTTATGTTTGTGTTGTCCTGATTGTGACGTTTTTCTGTACAGGTAAAAGTGCTTATAAAATAGGTAACCAAAATTCTGATTTTTAACTGTCATTCCCTTACGTGTAATAGCTAACCACTTGACATTGGCGGCGATTAAGTCACAACGCAAGCCATCATAAAAGAAGAAGAAGTGGCGATATGACGTAAACAATCTCTTTCTCACAAAAATACACAATCAGATCCCAGTTCATAGTTTTTTTTTTTCCAACACTCACACCAATTAGCCTAGCCCCAAAGTAAGCACTGTAAGGCTTGTGTTATGGGATGCTAGGGTAACGGATAGAATACATATATAGTACATATATAAGTATATTTAAATAGAAATACATATTAAACATCCATGACTGGAGAACAAATGCTCGTATTCATCACACAAACATCTGCCCCCACCGGGATTCGAACCCGGGACCTCTCGAGTCGGCGACACCATGAAACCCGGCGTACAAACCACTCGGCCACGGAGGTAGTCCAGGAGGTAGTTACATATTCGTTAATATTATTAGTAGGAGATTTCAGATTTTTCATAAAATTACTCTGGTCACACTGTGGCTACGTTCCAAATCCTTGCTTCGTGTGTAACATTTCACTCTGACATTTCAATTTTAACATGAAATGTTTTATAGGAAACCTAATTTGCCATTTGTTGCTTTTGGAGTGAGTATGGAACGTAGTCTAGGTAGGGCATGTTCCATGTCAAAAAAAATGATTCTGTAGTTTACTAGTTTCTGTCAAAAAAATAAATATTGACCATTCAAGCAAGTAATTTATCAATTGTTTCATAGGTTCTAAATAATAATTGGCAATGAATTTATCAAAACAAAGTTGTTGTGTTAGAATTACACTTGTACATTTTCAATAAGAAGTGTTTTAGACATTGTGCTTCAATTCGATCGACGTATTAGCTAAATAAATAAAATGGGTAAAATTATTAACTGTCGTGTGTGTCTTAGAGTAGACTCAAAAGTAAAAAAGAAATGCATATCGCTTTTCGACAAACATAATGATAATTTTATATATGAAATTATTAATTCAATAGCAGACGTTAAAATACAGCCTGGAGATACCTTCCCTGATAAAATCTGCCCAGATTGTTTGTTGGAACTTGATTCAATTTTAAGATTCAAGGAAAAGTGTGAGAATTCGAACATTTTACTGAAAAGTTCTATTTTAATAAACAATGATGTCACTGTTAAGCCTGAAGCCTCATACATCAAAGAATTGGAACTGATAAAAAAAGAAGAACCTGAGGAAATTGAAGAATACCTCGAAGCTGAATTTTTAGCTGACAGTTGTGTTTACACTGAGGAAACTACTAGTCTTAATACTGATGTTCCATTAGAAGGTAGTGCAAACGATAATAATAATGAAGAAACTGTTATGAAAAAGAGTAAAGCAATTGATTTAAAATTACAGTGCAATGAGTGTGGAGGATTTTTCAAAAGCAAATGTAAAATGAGAGTGCACTGGAAGAGGGTCCATATGTATGAGTCGTTATTGTGCCCATTGTGCAAGCGTGCATTTAAATCATTCAAAGCTTACAATACCCATGTAAAAAACAAATCACGAGCTTGTCTGACTGCTGCTAAAATTCGCATTGAGGGAGTAGGAAGATCAAGGGTGTTTCACTGCAAAACTTGTAGTTACTCTTCTGTTCGAATAAAAGACTTGCACACTCATCTGGTGGTCCACACAGGCGAAAAGCCCTTTATTTGTAAGATATGTTCAAAAGGACACTCTCAACAGAGTTCATTGCAAGACCATATGGAAAGAATACATAAGAATTATTTTATGGAAACAACTTGTCACTTATGCGGCAAACATCTCAAGGGTCGTAGTAAAATTTACAGGCATATGAAAACACACAGACTGGAGTACCTGCAATGCGACTTATGCAAGAAAAAGTTGAAAGGCAAAAAAAACCTCATCGATCACTTAAAACGGCATTCGGGAGTAAGATCCTACACTTGTGATCAGTGTGCTAAAACATTTATTTTATTGTCGGAATTGTGCAATCATAGGCGTTCTAAACATGAGAAAGGTAAACATATTTACACTTGTGATATATGCGGTTACAAAGCTTACACATCAAGTGTTATAAAAAGGCATAAAACGAGACATACAGGAACTAACTTTCCGTGTCTTGAATGCGGTATGTTCTTAGAGGATGCTCAAAAATTTGTGGAACATCAGCGAAGGCATGACTCAGCAGAACGGAAGTTTCCTTGCCCTCATTGTGAGAAGAGGTACATGAATAGGAAATCATTAAGCCAACATGTAAGAGAAGTCCACCATTGCACTTTTCTCATGAATAAACCAATCAAGCGAGAAACTGCAGAAAGTAGTAGTACACCATTGAAACTTTATTGTAGTGATATGATTGAAGTTGAAGTACCTCCAAAGACCATATAAAATTATATATGTTTTTATTTATACATCAATAAAATTATAAATTTAAAAAAATGTTTTTCTGTGGTGAAAATATTGTTAGACTAGGTACCTAATAAATTTAAATAAATAATATTTAAATGTTCTCTCTAATTATTTAATTAAATTGAATATTCTATCAATTCAATTGAAATTCAATCCTAATAATTAAAACATCATTCCAATTTTTAAATCAAATAAGAGATAGAAACATGATCAGCTTCTTTGAGATATGACACTTGATACAAGTAAGCCTAATTCTCTGTTTTTAGGATCCCATACCCAAAGAGTAAAAGCGGGACTATATTACTAAGACTCCACTGTCAGTCTGTCGCTAGTCTGTATCTCATGAACCATGATAGCTGGACAGTTGAAATCACAGATGGTGCATTTTTGTGGCCACAAGTAACAACAAATACTAAAAATAGAATAACATAAACATTTTAGGGGTTGTCCCATACAACAGACGTGATGTTTTGCCGTTTTTTGCGCGATTTTAATATATAATAATAGTGTCTAATGTTATATAGATAATGGTACGGAACCTTATGTGCGAAAGTCTGACTCGCACTTGCCCGTTTTTTTTTATCATAAAATAGAGAGGGCCTGAAATAGCGACATTGCTGCCCATGGAGTAAGTTTAGACTAGCTTTTTTTTTACTCCATCACATTAGCCTAGCCCCAAAGTAAGCACTGTAGGCTTGTGTTATGGGATACTAGGGTAACGGATAGAATACGTACACTGTACATATATAAGTATCTATCTAATATATAAAATTCTCGTGTCGAGGTGTTTGTGGTTAAACTCCTCCGAAACGGCTTTCCCGATTCTCATGAAATTTTGTGTGCATATTGGGTAGGTCTGAGAATCGGACAACATCTATTTTTCATCCCCCTAAATGTTAAGGGTAATCCACCCCTAAATTTTTTTTTCAATTTTAGATATCATACAAAAATACATACATCCCTAAATTTTCAACTTTCTACCACCAACCCCTATTTTTTTATGGCGGTACGAAGTTCGCTGGGTCAGCTAGTATTTATATAGAAATACATATTAAACATCCATGACAGTAGTACAAATGCTCGTATTCATTACACAAACATCTGTTCCCTCCGGGATTCGAACCCGTGAGCTCTCTAGTCTATTCTATTCTATTTTTTGTAAAGGCTGGCTGTTGTCTACTTGGGAGTCGGCGACACCATGAAACCCGGCGTTCAAACCACTCGGCCACGGAGGTAGTCAAATACATACAGTAGTTATGTCATTTCTAAGTCAAAGAACAGAAACAAAACATAGAGTAACAAATCCAAGCTTATTCTTCGTTTATTAATAAGAGGGTGCGTTTAATATATGGTTTAATATTTTTTAAACTTAAAACAAATAATAGTTCAACATTGGTGTCCATTCTGGCATTATTCTCTAAAGCTAAACTTAAATTTGACAACAGTGTATCCTTGTCGTTCTCTATATAGAATAAAAAGGACAGACTGATATTAAATTTAGTTTTAAGTTTAGAGAATGCTGCCAGGATCGACACCATTGTTGCTTAAAACACCAAATCCCAAATTAACGGCCAGCGTCTTAGCCGAATTTTGTCAAGCTTCTTTTTTTTTGTTCCCTCCCAGGCGGGGGAGCGAGTGTGAAATCCTCATGGATACCCTACAGCCAGCTGTAGGGTTATGTCAGACTCTTACTGACTAAAACACACCTGTGGGGGATGCCTATGCGCTATGGCCTTAGAGGCCTTACAGGCTTCATCTGATGCGATCAACCCCTGAGAAGGGGATGATGCAGCGCTGTCTTAGTAAATACTACTTAGAGGACGGATGCATGCACTCTGATGTGCATCCGTATCGGTTTGGGACTGAGCGACTGAAGGTCTCTCAGGATCGAGGGGGCCGGGCGGGTTGTCAGCTTCGTAATCGTATTGTCATTGTTAAATTTTGTATGGAATAAGCTATATAGTTTGATCTTACGGCCTGCATAGTTTTCATAGAAAGTTTGACCTATACGATTACGGAAGTGTCAAATTCATACTTGGACCTCAGAACTCGTGAGATATCTCCGGTCTTCAATCCCCTGTTATCACAACATTGAAAACCTATTTGCCGACGGCGACGTTGTCTCGGATCTAGGCGTTTGTGGTGATAACATTGATTCGATTATCGTATTCCGTGGATCAGAGCGATTTAGTTATGCGATGTGTTTACGTATGCAGTCCGTTTAGTCCATGATTGGGTAGGTTAGTGCCCCACCAACAATGAGAAAAATATACTGCAATTAAAATCAACCGCTTAAAATACATACATCGTTACATATATTAAAACAAAGTCGCTCCCGCCCGCTGTCTGTTAGGTACCGTGTAAGGTCCCATCGTAGTCCACTGTTGGACAAAGGCCTCTCCAATTGCACGCCACAGAGATTGATCTTGGGCTACTCGCTGTACTGTAGCTACTAAGGTACGCTTAGATATTTTTAACTACGGAACTGATTTTTATATAGTTCTCAGCAATAGAAAGAGTGATTCAAGAGGAAATTTAAGATTTATAATACCTACTAGCTGCCGCCCGAGACTTCTTCCGCGAAAGTTTAGTTTTCTAAAAAACCCTCAGAAACCTGTCATTTTTTCGGGTTAAAAAGTATATAATTATAAACTATACAGCCGGCAGTAGAACAAGGTACCGCAACATCACGCGGTGCAGGAGTATTGTCTGGTTTTAGTGGCCCTGTAGGTAGGGCCCTGTTCATTTGAGCGAGCCAGGGCTGGCTGAAATGAGCAGGAAGGAGTCACACACATACCTTCTTCTCACTCCCCCAGTGGTTGAAGGATGCTTATGGCATTTCCCAGACATAAAAAAAATAAAAAAAAATGTAATATACTATATATGTGTGCCCAATTTAATCCAAATTCGTTCAGCCGTTTTTGTCACATACCTTCTTCTCACTCCCCCAGTGGTTGAAGGATGCTTATGGCATTTCCCAGACATAAAAAAAAAGAAAAAAATGGAATAATCTATATATGTGTGCCCAATTTAATCCAAATCCGTTCAGCCGTTTTTGCGTGATTGAACAACGAACAATCATACTTTTACATTTATAATATCATTAGGATGCCTGAGAACTAGTAAAGTAGGTACCTACGTAAATACTAAGGTACTATAAAAATAGTATTTACTTTACCTACTGTAAATTAGTAAGCAAAAGTTACATTGTAAAATTACTTTTATGGCTTTAATAGGCACTTACTTTTTATAACGTACCGCGGCTTTGGTTCAAGTGGTTCGTAAAATTTATTGAGGAATTTTACGATTATAAGTACCAACTTACCTGCGTAACGTAGAAAGGACCCTGCTTGCCGTTTTAAAAACTTTATTATTTAATGATTTGTAAATTTCAATGGAATCGTTTATAGGGTTCCTTATTAAGGGGAATAACAGAACCCTACCTCTCGAAGTGGTGAAGTCAACCTTCTCGCACATATCTCATACCCTGAAACTCGGACTACAAATCGCTTGGTTTATCTATACATCAGTACCCTTAGTACGAGTTTGTGCTCACGAAAACTATCATAGTTTTTGTAATTTTAAATAATGTTTCTATGTCCATTTTGGTGAAAAGTAATCAAATATATTTAATTTAAGAAGAAACAAATGATTTAATGATAGAATTTAAACGCTGTTTATTTGCATTGAAACGAAAATAATAAAATCAGTACCCTTAGTACGGTGCTAGCTCACGAAAACCATGATAGTTTTCGTAATTGTAAAACTCGTACTAAGGGTACAGTACTCTTAGCACGAACCAATATCGAATTCGAATAGTTTGCGAGTCCGAAATGTCATTGTCAAATGTGTACCTACTGATTTTTAGGTCTCGTTACGTACTTTGTGGCGCTGCTGTTCAAGTTTCCATACAAAATTTGACATTGACATTTCGCACTCGCAAACTATTCGAATTCGATAATGGTTCGTGCTAGGGGTACAGGACACATCTATCTGCCCACTACTCGTTATAAGTTTCAATGGTCTACAGCAAAAAAATATATTTATGGTTGAACAATAATTTTAAAAACACTCGTAAAGATGGTTCATAAATCAGCTCAAACTTGCGTAGGTTATAACTTTTTGCTCAATGTAACATTTATTTTTAGCTAGGGATCGTCAAAACAATTCCAAAAAGCTGCTGAAATATTAACGGCGTATGTAAAATTTCTGTCTAAGTACACTCTACTGGAAATTGAGTATTTTAATACGAGTACTCATGGTATTCTTAAATCGGCTGTAAAACTTCAGGTAAGCGGAACTATTTGTTTAGCGGCTATGCGCAAATTTCATGTGCATGCAAGTACTGCTCGCGTATAAATTGTTATTTATTTAGCATTAAGTGCGCTTTTTCCTATACATATTATGTCAGGTCAGTCCGTATGCGTACTGGCACTGTTCAATATGAAACAAGACAATTATCTACGTCACTACAAAGAATACGCGAGCTGCTCCTGTATGAAATGGAAGAATATAGAAAAAAAAAAGTTATTTCCAATCTATACATGATTAGTTTCACACCCTTGCGTTCTGGCCTTGTATAGAGAATGGAAAGACGCGGTCCCTGCTGCATGTGCAGTCGTTAACACCCACCAATCCGCACTGACCCACTAAGAGGGTCATTTCCTGGCCCAATCTTCCTACTCCATCCACAGGAAAAGGCCTGTGCCCCAGCAGTTAGGACTTTAATAGGCTGGTGATGATAATACTCATAGTGCCCACAACAGTGGATCTGCGCCTGATCCTACACGACAGCATAAAGATAAGACGCTTGGGGATGCGATATTGTACGGATCGTTAACGTGTTGTATACCCCAGTCCCTAACCGCATCCCCAACACCGCGAAGCCCTTTTTTTTGTGACACAGACTAAACCTCTATTTACAGACGACGGCGCCTTTAAGAGGCACACCGCCGAACGGATCTCACACCTAGCTCCCGCAAGCTTTACGGGCCCCT